TTAACAAATAATAGCACAACAAATAATGTGACGTCATCAAATGATGCAAGTGATGGCGCAGAAACAGCTTCCGGTGGATGTGAGGCAGCTGGTGGCGATAGCGTGGAAAATAAATCAAATGAAAAAGCGGGTAATCCTTTCTTAAAAGATCACAAAGGAGATGAAGAAGGTGAGGGCGATGAACAACAGGATTCAGTAGCCACTTCCAAAGGAAACGATAACGGCGAAAACAATGATGAATCTGATGAACGTCCGGATCCTTTGTCATTGTTACGTAAAAATGGCATGGAACGTTCTAATCTTTTTGCTGCAGCAAAAAATTCTATACCCTTGGTTGAAAAGTCTGGTTTTGTTTTTGGACAAAATGTTCATGAACGTGTTGTGGGTGTAAGTTTAAAAATTCTTTAACAAACACCCTAAATCTATAAGTTTGATTTTTAGGAAAATTTAAAAGCTGATTCTACTACCACCGCTGATAATGCTGAATCTTCAACTTCGACTTCCGGAGAAGGTCTGTTGTTTTCAAGTGTTATACAAAACGCTGCAGCAGCAGCCAAATCATCAGAAGGTTGTGACTCTGCTTCCGGCAAAGATGCCAATGCCGAAGTTAAAAGCCTTACCGAGGTAGCTCGAGAGTATGAAGAGAGTCGGGCTCAAAAACGTAAATACGAAGAAGTTGAAACATTTACAGGCGAAGAAAATGAAGTGAACATTGTGGATGTAATTTTATATTATTATTTTTTTATTGCAAATCATCTTTCACTATTTTATCTACATTTTACAGTTAAATTGCAAGTTATTTGCTTTTGTCAATAGCAACTGGGAAGAACGTGGTCGTGGAAGTCTACGTCTTAACGATTCTAAAATTGAGCACGAATGTTCTCGTTTGGTATTTAGAACAGCAGGAAATTTACGTTTATTGCTTAATACTAAGGTAAGGAAACTTGTTATTACCATAAAAACTAAAGCGATAATATTAAATTGAATTTTTATTTTAGGTTTGGGCCGGTATGGTTGTTGAACGCCCCAGCCAAAAATCATTGCGTTTAACAGCTATGGATAATACGGGTAAAATAAAAATTTTCTTGGTGATGGCTCGTCCCGTCGAAATCAATCAGTTGCACAATGCCCTAGTAGAACGTATAGATAAACGTAAAATATCTCATCCCGATGAATTGTTATGTGCTGCTAGCAACAATAGTGGGGAACAGAATACTGAAGACATAAAAAATGGCTCGGCCAAACACTTGTCCGAAGAAGCTGCTGCTGTAGCTGAACCAGACCATGATGATTCCACTGAGCCCAGTCCCAAGAAAACCATACTCTCCGTTGACGAAGCATCATCAAATGTACAACAATAAGAATCATTTAAGAATTAATAAACGAAACAACCAATTAAATTACAATCATTTTATATTTACAAGTATTTACATCATAATTTTCCATTAAGCGTAATTATAATTTTCTTCACACGTTCTCTGTTTCTTCTAATTCATTATCTGTTTCTTAATTATAATTATTTTCATTTTATGAAATACTGTAATGATTTAGAAAAGAAAAACCTTAAGAAAATTATTTTACTCACTAATTGAAAATGATAATCAAAAATTATATATTTTTTCGTTTAAAGAATAAAAATATGAAAAAGTAATAAATAGCAAATAGTTTCTTGCTAATAACAATTTCTCAATATTTGGACATTAATTATAAATAAACTGAATTTTATAATTTCCCACAAAGAAAGAAAAAAAAAAAAAAAACAAAACGTGAAAAACATTTTGATGTTTGATTCAAAATTATAATTATGAATTATCACAATTTTAATGGAATTATAAAAATTATAGTTCTCTTTTTTATAGCACACTACATACTACATACATAGGTCAGTCATATACAAATGGAAAAACGAATTGTATCATCTTTAAAATTAATAAATATATAATTAATAAAAAAAAAATGAATAAACGTTTAAAATGTAAAACAAATTATTATTATTTTTTAAATAAAAATAAAACGAATTTTTGCGCATTGTGTTCCTTATGATACTTAAAATTGATTGTTTCATTTGTCCGTTTTTTTAAATACATAAATAAGAAAATAAGAATTACACTCATTTATAAGTAGATCTTTACATTCATCTATAGACCCTCTTTTATAGGCAAGTATCTGTAGAAGACACTATTCTATAGAAAAGTGTTAAGACAATCTTCTATAGACAAGTGTCTTTATAAAATACCTTTTTATACAATCACAATCACTTTCTGAGTCGATTGTGTGTCCATGTAAACCTTGTGCGCACGCTACAGGTCGCAATTTTCGAGATAATTTCATGAAATTTGGCATATATTTTTCATTTAACCCAAGGACGAAGCCAATTGAAAATAGTTAAAATCGGTCTATTATATCATCTAGCCCCCATACAACCGTTCTCCCTAAATAGCTCCTTAGAACTCATAATTATGTTAAATGTTCTAGTATCTCTACATAAATCGAAACTTAGTTTTACATAAGTCTACATTATGCTGCCGATTTTCATAATAATCGGGTCTTATTAGACTCGATATATAGTATGCCATACTATACATTTCTTATTTTAGATTGGTATTTATATAACACATTCTTTTTATATGTCAATAGCTGTTTTATTCTTAAAATTGTTCTGTATACTGATAGTACAAGTGAATCGTAACAGTCAAGTATATGTCGAATTCGACGGATAAAATTCTCTAAAGCCTAATTTATGAATTAAAACAATGCTATTTTATTAAAATAATTGTTATTTTATTTATTCAAGTTTTAGTTTACTGCTTTTGTAACAATAATTAACAATTTTATTTTTACGTAGTTTATATTTTAAGATTATTTTACATCTTGAGGTTCGATTTTATATTAGTAGAGCATGCATATATACTTATTTCTGTTTAGTTTAATTTTAAGTATAAAAAAATCTTTAAAATTAAGTATTTCTTTATTTAAACTAAGTATTTAAATTATATTATATATAAATTCTTTCATACATGTAGTGGCTTCTTATAAAAAGTAATATAATAAATATTTTCATAACTTATAGTATTTTGTTAGAAATATTTACACAAATTTTACACAATAATTCTCAAATTCTACTAGAGTATCAATTTATCAAGAAAATCATGCGATTTTTGTATTTCTTATTTCTTTAAAGTATATTTCGGAATTTATCAATATTACAGAATTTATTATCATCATAGTCATAACCTCGTAAAGTTTTGATTATGTCGAATTTCATCATTATACTACTTAGTCTAGTATATTGAACATCTTACTTTCTCCTTTTAAAGTTGTAGTTCCGACGTACATAAATAAACAGATTTACAGAAATAAACAGATCACACCACCTAGTCCTAACCAGGACCAGCAATGGTTTGAATGAAATAAAACAAAGTATAAAAAGCATACTTTAAACAAGGTTGGTAACCTTTCGAAATAGTGAAAGGGTTACTAACGCCTTATTTTGGTAACGTCATTTTAGCGGTAATGGTATTTAGGCTTATTTCGTAAACGGTATACCTTTATATATATAGTTGATAAGGTAAAATCAACATTTTGAAAATAAGAAATTTATATAAAAAATATATTGGTCTATTTCGATAGTAGAAGTAGAGCTTAAAAAGCTAATGTTAGATTAACGTTAATGGTAGCTTAACTTGCTTTTAAACCAGGTATTTTTAAACCGAAGCTAAGTGTTAACCGGATTAACATAAGGTTTTACAGTTCTTCCTAATGGAGGAATTCATCCTTTAGGGTGAACTATAAAACTGGACTTTAATTTTTAAATCGAATCGAATATTTAAAACGTATGTACACATATTCTTATTATTTTGTCCCACAAATTTCGACATTAGGTGGGCCCAAAGTGGAAGTTGTCGATGTTCCCACCGAAAATAAAAAATTTGTTTATTCTAAGATACCATGTCCCAATGTATAAGTGGGGACTTTTAGGTATTTTTTCGTTCTTCAGATGGTATGAAAAATATCGAAACATAAACCAATTCAAAATATATTAAAAATTCTGAAATAATCATTGGGTTTTCGGAACGTACTCATATTAGAGTTATTTATAAATCGATTTAACTTACAGTATTGTTCGAAACCAAAGCAACTTTTTTTTGGCATTGTATACAAAGTTCGTAATGAATCCCAATCGGATTTTAAGCCATTCGCCAGCTGTAACGTTTTCTAAAACTGCGAGTTTCGACCCTTCGGAATGCCGAACAGCATCTCTAAGGGGCTTGAGTCAAGAGATTTTGATGGACAATCGAAAAATTTGGGTCCCATTATACGATAACTACTCTTAGATCAACTTTGCCAAAGGTTTTGGTTCATTATCATGCTGAAAATCGCAATAAAGTAAGTTGTTCTGTTCAATGTACTTAATCCTATGGTTTATTTTGTTGGCCAAAAATATCCCAGAAAGTAAAACAATCCCCATCAGGGGCGTAGTCAGATGTCTGCAAAATAGGACACATCGGGTACATTGAATTTTTAAAACGATCCTATTGTCCTGTGGTCCCAATTCAAAACTTAAACTCGACAACACTTCCTCTTTATACATGTAAAATTTCATTCGAATCAGGCAAACCATTTAGAAGTTACAGAATTATTTCCCTCTCTATACTACTGTGCATCGTCTATGAGACAATAAAGAACCATTATTATCCTTAAAATTCCGATTTGTAGTTTGATTGCCAAATACCTTTCATAAGCTAAAAAAAAACTAAACAAAAAAACATTCATTTTGTTTTAATTTCTAAGAAAAACGAAAAAAATTTATTACATTTTTTATTACATTAAAATTGTAAAAGTAAAATTTAAAACTAATAAAAACAAATTTAAAAAAATAAATATTTGTTAAGTTGTATATTATTTTTTTTTTTAATATACTAATGATTTATTTTACATGGATAAATGCTTACTACTCATACTTAAAACAAAACACAAAAATCATTTTAAACTTTATTTTTATGTTAAACAATAATTTATTTGCCAAAGAAAAGGTAAACTAAAGAATAATATTTAAATATAGTATATAATTTGTTACTACATAGTTTACAAATGTTTCGTTTGTTTGCTCCTTTAGTATAAAACCAAGGATATGCTAACAAAAAGTTCTAAAATTAAAAATCAAAAATAAGTATTTATTGTTATTTTTATTTTTAATATAAAACTTTGGTATTTGCAACATTGCTTTAGCACTTTTACTTTTATATAAAAAATACAATTTATTTTAGTTAAATAGTTTATTATTATTATTTTTTCTTTCTTTCTTATACGTTATTAACAATTAGCAAATATACACATTTTGGTCTACCATTAAGATATTTATATATTTAATTAATTCATAAGATTGTGCGTGCACACACGGTTTGTTGTTTTTAAAACTGTTTTTCATTTTATTTAAATTTAAATTTCTAATTTATAGTATTTTGTTTAAGTATATATTTTTTTTTCTTATATATTTAAAAAGAAGTGTTAATTGTTTTATAATAACGCCATATGATAACTTTCATTTGAACAGATTCTTTTGTTAGTTTTAAATGTAATTGTTGTTGTTGTTGGTTTTAACTAATTGATTTCTTTTCGCAATTTATTTGTTGTAACACATTTTTCATAAGATGTCAATAGTTTATAGTATCAATTGGCAAGTGAATGCAATTTTTACTTTTTGTTTGAATGCATTAAAATAAAGTTTAAAAATAGAATTGTTCAATTAAATTTGGCGCTATGTACAAGTTCTTTTTTTATATTTTTCATAAAAATTACGAGATTTTCTTTAGGTTTTATTATTGTTTTTATATTAACTTTTTTTATTCTTGTGATTTGTTTAATTTATAAAAAAATGAAATAAAATAAAAAATCAAGAGGTAGTAAATAGCATTTTGAAATTATATTTATCATTATAATAGCAATTATTTGCAAGAGAATCGTTTAAATTTTAGCTTATTTTACTGCAACTGGATACTGTCACATTTAATGGATTATTTGCATTATTTGTATTAATTTTTGTGCTTACAGCTATTGAGGATCTGTAAATGATAAAAATACAATTAAGGTTTCTATTCGTAATTGTATATATTTTATTTCTCTCATACATACCTATTGTGCCTCATGTGACTCTTGACTAGATCACTATTGACCAAAGCGGCCATAAGACTTAATTCACCTGCCATTACGGTGGCACATACAATCTGTGCCAATTTTTTGGCATTCTCACCGGGTTGGGCAACATTGGCTCCCTTAACACCCAACATATCTAGACAAGCACTTTGTCCGGGTAAACCAGTACCGCCACCAACTGTACCCACCTCCAGGGAAGGCATTGTGCAGGTCATATATAAATCTTCATTATTTTCACCCCAACATTCCATACCGGTAGAACAGTTACTGGATGTAACATTTTGTGCTGGATCTTGGCCGGTGGCTAGGAAAACGGCTGTAACCATGTTGGCGGCATGAGCGTTATTGCCTAGAAATTTTGATAGAAAAGCGTTATGTTATATTTTTTGTATAAATGAATGATTGTTGTGTAAACTTTCCAACGGTATACGTCTAGTCTATAGTCTAGTCTATAGACTAGTCTATAGACTAGACGTATAGACTATAGACTAGTCTATAGTCTAGTCTAGTCTAGTCTATAGACTAGTCTATAGTCTAGTCTAGTCTATAGTCTAGTCTATAGTCTAGTCTATAGTCTAGTCTATAGTCTAGTCTATAGTCTAGTCTATAGTCTAGTCTATAGTCTAGTCTATAGTCTAGTCTATAGTCTAGTCTATAACTAGTATAGTCTAGTCTATAGTCTAGTCTATAGTCTAGTCTATAGTCTAGTCTATAGTCTAGTCTATAGTCTAGTCTATAGTCTAGTCTATAGTCTAGTCTATAGTTTAGTCTATAGTCTAGTCTATAGTCTAGTCTATAGTCTAGTCTAGTCTATAGTCTAGTCTAGTCTAGTCTATAGTCTAGTCTATAGTCTAGTCTATAGTCTAGTCAATAGCCTAGTCTATAGTCTAGTCTATAGTCTAGTCTAGTCTATAGTCTAGTGTATAGTCTAGTCTATTCTAGTCTATAGTCTATAGTCTATAGTCTAGTCTAGTCTAGTCTAGTCTAGTCTAGTCTAGTCTAGTCTAGTCTAGTCTATAGTCTAGTCTATGGTCTAGTCTAGTCTAGTCTATAGTCTAGTCTAGTCTATAGTCTAGTCTGTAGTCTATAGTCTAGTCTATAGTCTATAGTCTAGTCTATAGTCTAGTCTAGTATAGTCTATAGTCTAGTCTATAGTCTAGTCCATAGTCTAGTCTATAGTCTAGTCTATAGTCTAGTCTATAGTCTAGTCTATAGTCTAGTCTATAGTCTAGTCTATAGTCTAGTCTATAGTCCAGTCTATAGTCTAGTCTATAGTCTAGTCTATAGTCTAGTCTATAGTCTAGTCTATAAACTAGTATAGTCTAGTCTATAGTCTAGTCTATAGTCTAGTCTATAGTCTAGTCTATAGTCTAGTCTATAGTCTAGTCTATAGTCTAGTCTATAGTCTAGTCTATAGTCTAGTCTATAGTCTAGTCTATAGTCTAGTCTATAGTCTAGTCTATAGTCTAGTCTATAGTCTAGTCTATAGTCTAGTCTATAGTCTAGTCTATAGTCTAGTCTAGTCTAGTCTATAGTCTAGTCTATAGTCTAGTCTATAGTCTAGTCTATAGTCTAGTCTATAGTCTAGTCTATAGTCTAGTCTATAGTCTAGTCTATAGTCTAGTCTATAGTCTAGTCTATAGTCTAGTCTATAGTCTAGTCTATAGTCTAGTCTATAGTTAGTCTATAGTTGGTCTATAGTCTAGTCTATAGTCTAGTCTATAGTCTAGTCTATAGTCTAGTCTACAGTCTAGTCTATAGTCTAGTCTATAGTCTAGTCTATAGTCTAGTCTATAGTCTAGTCTATAGTCTAGTCTAGTGTAGTCTATAGTCTAGTCTATAGTCTATTCAGTCTAGTCTATAGTCTATTTAATTGTTCGAACGTTTTATAAGTTTTATATATAAAAATCTCTTGGATTTCAAATCATTGTAAATTTCAGAAAGAATCGATTTATTAGCATTCAAACTCACCTCCTATACTGCCTGCCATAGCACTGCCACCCATATTCTTCAGTTTATTGCACTCTACCAATGTTTTAGCATCTGTCTTCAATACACTACGTAAAGTAGCTGCTGGTATTATACATTCGGTGACCACACGTTTTCCACGACCCTTAATCCAATTAATAGCCGCTGGTTTTTTGTCACAACAGAAATTGCCACTCAATGAGATAATTTGCATATCGGGGAATTCACGTTTAATACACTTCAATGCCATCTCGGCACCCTTTGAAACCATATTCATGCCCATGGCATCACCCGTCAAAGCAACAAAACGTATATACAGCTGAGGACCATCCATGGCAATGTGACACTCCTTGAGACGACCAAAACGTGAAGTGGAATCGAATTCCGCTTTAATACGTTTATAATTTTGTTCATCGTTAATCCAAATTTTCGCTTCAGCTGCACGACTAACACTGGAAAAGCGTACACAGGGAGCACGAGTCATACCCACATCTTCAACGTACGATGTGACACCGCGAATTGATAAAGCTTTGCAACCACGATTGGTGGATGCCACTAAGGCACCCTCGGTAGTGGCCATGGGTACGAAATATTTCGCACCATCCAACAGCAAAGGACCAGCATAACCGACTGGTATGGGCACATAGCCCAAGACATTTTCACAACAAGCATTCATAACACGCTTATAGTCAAAATGTTTGTATGGAAGACAGTCTAAAAGACCTTCCGCCAATTTGGCACGTTCACTAATAATGCGGCGTCTTAGCTTAACACCTCTCACCGGATCATCAATAACTGATTCGATTTTATGCAAAGGACAATATTGGCCACCAGCACTAACAATATTTATAATCTCTTCATCGGTTAGATTAGCAGGACCACCGCCTTCTTCTGTGGAATTTAAAATTTCCAGACATTCTTCCAAGGGGCGTGGTGGGCGTGATTTTGACAATTGATTACATTCACTCAAAGGTATCAGTTCAGCGCAGTCACTACCTCGTCGATTGCCATCCATTAAATCGTAGTCTGTTTGTGTAGCTGCATTAGCAGTGTTTGACTCCTCTATGGTAAACAATGGTATACGTGATGGTGGTGATATAACCTGCATTGATTTAACAGATTTAATCGACAATGATGTGGGATTGGCAGTATTATTGGGCTGCTGCATTAATTCCATGTTTTTAGTTTCAAGTGTTGTTTCCATATTGGAATTTAGCACTTCAAGTGGTTGTGTCTGAGATGATTTGGCCGCAATTGTAACAACAGTCGATTGTCGTAGTTGATCATGTAAATTATTTTCGAAAAATATGAATTTAATTACCAATGCTATGAGTAGAATAAGTATTACAATTTGATCGGCACTCATTGTCAGCCATCTGGAATTATAATTATGGGAGAGAATGGACAAATTAAATTATTATATGGGTCATTGATAAGCATTACAGACATTTGTTTAAAGTGCATAGATTTTAAAAAATTTATTTAGACACATTTGAATAATAATAGTTTAAAAATAAATGGAATGTCTAGAAAAATATAACTTACTTGATTATTAAATCGCTCAATTCTCCCGATTCTGTACGATTATTATTTACATTCATATTCAATTTCGGTGTCAATGTCTTGTCAACACTTTCGTATTCACTATTCGAAAATACCATACGACTATAAATGTGAACAATCATTAGACCGGTGGTCATAATAATCTTAACACGTTGTACTACAGGATTAGTCTTTTGTTCCTCTTCGCTTAATGCCTTCAATATTATTGATTCCTTGGCTTTAGCTCTAACCAATGACATATCCATACCATTGCGAGACAAATCCAAAATTAACGATAAACATGCCGGATAGAATGTCATAAATACAACATAATTCACAATGACCGACATAACGGCAAAGGTGCAAAGAACCTCCAAACGCTGAACACCCGACAGTGTACCCACACCAATGACTAAAGTTTCCACAATTGTATCTAGTGAAATGGCTGGACCTAAAAGTTCCAAACCACGTGCAATATTATTTGTGACTTCCGCTTGATTGGTACCGGCTAAAGCTAATTGAGCCAATGTTCCCGAATTCGATAGATCTATGAGTAGTAATAGGAAAAATAAAGCATCTCTGTGGGAAGAAATTATGAAAATAAAAAGAAATTAAGAAACTGGTCTTTACTGGTTATCAATAGAGAACTCACTTTAAGTCTGATATATCACTTCCTAGGAACTTGATTATGGTCGTTGTGAATATAAAACTAGAGAAGACAGTAAATAGTCCGGCAATACCTAAAAGAAAAAGAAAAAAATTTATTATAAATTTAATTTTTTTTACAATTTGATTAAAGTTAAACATTTTCACAAAAAAATGTATTAAAGGTTGTAAATTTAGAAATGTATTTCCACAGTAATCTCAAAAAATTATCGATTTTATAATGCTAACTATAAGGTAAAAATCGTGTCACCGGATTATTGTTATAAACCATATATAGGAAAGTTATTCTTTTTTTTTTCTACGAAAGTACTACTTAGAGAGACACCCGGATATTTTCCGGAAATATTGGCAAATTTATTAAATTTTTTGAAAAAAATTTTCTTTCATTGAAAACAGTTATTTCAATTAACCATTTAATGCATTAAAAAAAGGTGTGAATTTTTTCCATTTTATATTAAATTTCTTTTTAAATTGTTAAAATAAATATCATGAGAAACGTCATTATACATATGTAATCATAAAAATAAACAAACCATTAAACTTCAAAATACTTGTATTTTATGGCCGTTATTTAATATTACTTTGCTCACTACCCCTCAGTTTTTCAAGAAGTCAATGTATCCCTTTTAGACTAGGGAAAGGAAATCCATCATTTTAGTATAGTAATCTAATGTGAAATTTATGTATTGCACCCACTAAGGAGAAATCTAGCAGAGTCAATTGACTGTTTTGTACTGGAAGTGAAATATGATTTATAATAAATGAGGATTAATCAACTTCCGCCTAGGATACCCATAAATTAAAATATCTAGCTGTTTGTTTGGAACAGTTCCCTCGAACTGCAGGGTACTTACATACATATGTATGTATATACACAATAATAAGGATTTAAAATGAAGACCGGTCTTAAATATTTACAACTTACATAAATTTCCTACGTATGCATGCAAGTATGTATTATGTATGAACATTTGTAGAAACGTATTTATTTGGTTGTGTGTTTAACAGTGACCTTCAATATGATGGGGGGTTACCATGGATGATGGCAGTCAGAGTTTAACAAAAATTCACCAGCAACACAATCGAAAGGAAAGCAAAAATTGTATATTCAGTAAAATTCAATTACAACGAATATTGAGAACCACTTCCCTACAGGAAATGGATGTTAAAAAAAAACATTTTTAATTATTAAGTCATTTTATTAAATTAAGTAGTATGAAAACTTTAGAGGAAGAATTTAAAGATTTCAAACATTAATAAACACTTTTTCGTAAAGTTATCTATGATTAAGGAATTTATGTATATTCCCGGGATGCTAAAGACATTTAAATTTAACACCAATTTCCCTGAAACAGCAAAAATTGCGCGAAAAAAAGAATTGTGATAACAGATAAGAACAATTAAATAGAAAAAATTCACTTTTTTAACTTAAATCAAAAGTAAACAATGAATTTTAATGCGAAAAAATATTTCTTTTAATAAAACAATCTTAAGATTCTTTTTCATAAGATGGTTATCATTACATTCATAATATTTTGGGAAATATCATCAAATAATTTTGAACGGTTAATAAAATTCACAAATGTTTAGAATTTTTTTTATTTTGCACGAAAGTGTAGTCAAAAACCATAGTGTAGTATAATCCATAGTCTAGTCTAGTCTATAGTGTAGTCTATAGTGTAGTCTATAGTGTAGTCTATAGTCTAGTCTATAGTCTAGTCTATAGTCTAGTCTATAGTCTAGTCTATAGTCTAGTCTATAGTCTAGTCTATAGTCTAGTCTATAGTCTAGTCTATAGTCTAGTCTATAGTCTAGTCTATAGTCTAGTCTATAGTCTAGTCTATAGTCTAGTCTATAGTCTAGTCTATAGTCTAGTCTATAGTCTAGTCTATAGTCTAGTCTATAGTCTAGTCTATAGTATAGTCTATAGTCTAGTCTATAGTCTAGTCTATAGTCTAGTCTATAGTCTATAGTCTAGTCTATAAACTAGTCTATAGTCTAGTCTATAAACTAGTCTATAGTCTAGTCTAAAGTCTAGTCTAAAGTCTAGTCTAAAGTCTAGTCTATAGTCTAGTCTATAGTCTAGTCTATAGTCTAGTCTATAGTGTAGTCTATAGTCTAGTCTATAGTCTAGTATATAGTCTAGTCTATAGTCTAGTCTATAGTCTAGTCTATAAACTAGTCTATAGTCTAGTCTAAAGTCTAGTCTATAGTCTAGTCTATAGTCTAGTCTATAGTCTAGTCTATAGTCTAGTCTATAGTCTAGTCTATAGTCTAGTCTATAGTCTAGTCTATAGTCTAGTCTATAGTCTAGTCTATGGTCTAGTCTATAGTCTAGTCTATAGTCTAGTCTATAGTCTAGTCTATAGTCTAGTCTATAATCTAGTCTATAGTCTAGTCTATAGTCTAGTCTATAGTCTAGTCTATAGTCTAGTCTATAGTCTAGAGTATAGTCTAGTCTATAGTCTAGTCTATAGTCTAGAGTATAGTATAGAGTATAGTCTAGTCTATAGTCTAGTCTATAGTCTAGAGTATAGTCTAGTCTATAGTCTAGTCTATAGTCTAGTCTATAGTCTAGTATATAGTCTAGTCTATAGTCTAGTATATAGTCTAGTCTATAGTCTAGTATATAGTCTAGTCCATAGTCTAGTCCATAGTCTAGTCTATAGTCTAGTCTGTAGTCTAGTCCATAGTCTAGTCTGTAGTCTATAAACTAGTCTATAGTCTAGTCTAAAGTCTAGTCTAAAGTCTAGTCTAAAGTCTAGTCTATAGTCTAGTCTATAGTCTAGTCTATAGTCTAGTCTATAGTTTAGTCTATAGTCTAGTCTATAGTCTAGTCTATAGTCTAGTCTATAGTCTAGTCTATAGTCTAGTCTATAGTCTAGTCTATAGTCTAGTCTATAGTCTATGTCTATAGTTAGTCTATAGTCTAGTCTATAGTCTAGTCTATAGTCTAGTCTATAGTCTAGTCTATAGTCTAGTCTATAGTCTAGTCTATAGTCTAGTCTATAGTCTAGTCTATAGTCTAGTCTATAGTCTAGTCCTATAGTCTAGTCTATAGTCTAGTCTATAGTCTAGTCTATAGTCTAGTCTATAGGTCTAGTCTATAGGCTAGTCTATAGTCAGTCTATAGTCTAGTCTATAGTCTAGTCTATAGTCTAGTCTAGTCTAGTCTATAGTCTAGTCTATAGTCCTAGTCTATAGTCTAGTCTATAGTCTAGTCTATAAGTCTAGTGCTATAGTCTAGTCTATAGTCTAGTCTATAGTCTAGTCTATAGTCTAGTCTATATTCTAGTCTATAGTCTAGATCTATAGTCTATTCTATAGTCTAGTATATAGTCGATTCTATAGTCTAGTCTATAGTCTAGTCTATAGTCTAGTCTTATAGTCTAGTCTATAGTCTAGTCTATAGTCTAGTCTATAGTCTAGTCTATAGTCTAGTCTATAGTCTAGTCTATAGTCCTAGTCTATAGTCTAGTCATAGTCTAGTCTATATCTAGTCTATATCTAGTCATAGTCTAGTCTATAGTCTAGTCTATAGTCTAGTCTATAGTCTAGTCTATATGTCTATTCTATAGTCTAGTCTAATCTAGTCTATAGTCTAGTCTATAGTCTAGTCTATAGTCTAGTCTATAGTCTAGTCTATAGTCTAGTCTATAGTCTAGTCTATCTAGTCTATAGTCTAGTCTATAGTCTAGTCTATAGTCTAGTCTATAGTCTAGTCTATAGTCTAGTCTATAGTCTAGTCTATAGTCTAGTCTATAGTCTAGTCTATAGTCTAGTCTATAGTCTAGTCTATAGTCTAGTCTATAGTCTAGTCTATAGTCTAGTCTATAGTCTAGTCTATAGTCTAGTCTATAGTCTAGTCTATAGTCTAGTCTATAGTCTAGTCTATAGTCTAGTCTATAGTCTAGTCTATAGTCTTGTAATTACAATTACGAGTAATTGTAATTGGTTATTGCTCAATTACACATTACAAGTAATTGTAATTGACCATGTAATGAATTACTCTGTGTAATCATTACCCCCCATGCCTGGTATATGAACTAATAGTCTATAGACTATATTTTATGAACTAATTATAAAGATTTAGCCTTTTTACTGTTTTCAGTTCTGAGGATTCTCAATGAAAAATGTGAGAAATCACTTATGAATGAAACAAACTTAATTTTGATATAAAAAGTTTGTAGCTATTTGTGTGAGATTGTTAATAAATGTACCTATAATCCGGCAAGAAAAAAGTGTTAAACTAGGTTCGCTAGCAAATAATTCATCCAGTTAATACACAAGAGAACTACTTTATCCTGTTATAAAAAACTTAAATAAAGATGTATGGATATATTTTTGAAATATGTATGCATACAATGCCAGATTATGTATGTTTATAAGCTTATGGGTGTGTAAAATTATGTTGATAGCGTCACGTACATCGTCAGTTGGTGGTTAAATAAAAATATTCAATAAAAATTTCAAAATTATAGCAAGTTTTTTTCGGTGCGTATACATGCGTTTTTTTAAATTTAATGTAAACATTAAATATTTGTAAGTATGTGTTTGCCTATAGATGTTGACATTTATATGTCAATAAAATAAAATATTTTATTTTCAACATCTTAAATCTTTGTGAACTTCTTCTTGTGAGTTAAATAAATTTCCATTTTAAATTTCGGAACAAAAATGTAAATTTATTCAAAATTCATATTTCCCAAAAGATATTATTTACCTTCTACTTTAATTTTCTAACTTATTTATTTATTATTTGGTATCTATATTATTATTATTGTTGTTGTTTATTTTAACAAGGTCAATACACTGTTAGTATTTAAAGTTGGCTCTTATAATCAATCGTGTATGACGATGGCCTTTAACATAATAAAGTCAATATTAAATTAAATTAGTTTATAATTATTTTTTTTATTTAAAATTAATCCAATCATCTATTCATATTTACCATAAACGCTATAACAACAAGAACAACTAGAAAAATAATCTGAGAAAAAAAAACTTTGTTTACTTCAAAAGAAGGTCTAATTTATTAGTACTTTTTGAATTTGGTTTTTTCTACATTATTATATAAAGGACAAAATCGCAAAATATTGTTTAGTATAAAGAAATTTATATTGAATTTCATATTGCTTTTTGCTGACATGTACAGTGGTGGATAATTGTGAAAAGTTTGGTAAAGTTGTGGGACATATTCGTAGTCTAACCGATTACCAAAATATTACCAAATACTATAGGTCTCCTCGAAATACTACTGGCGAACGATTTCCAGGCATTGTAACAATAGAGTTTAGGAGTTCCCGGAAAGATTTACTTGAGCCTCTCCTTTATCGGCCTAAGCTAACTGTGGTCTTTGTTCAGGGATATTAATTCATTTTAGTCCCACAGTCACATCTCTGAAGAATTCTGTTTAGGTCTCTAGTCAGACCGCAAATCAAAGTAGATCAGTACGGTACTTGGTTTTGTGAAGTTATTCAAATATTGGTGGTACTTCCAAATCATACGATTTTCAGCAGGTTAAATTCTGAATTTGTTTTCAGCCTCCTGCTACAATTTTACTGTCTACTGTTTATCGGTATGCGAAAGTCTGCACTGCTGTCGTACATACGTTTTAGATTAGATCGTTATTACATAATAAAATATTAAAAAAAAAATCCCTAAAATTCATATTGAATAAACATATTGACAAGCTTGATGGAAACGAGTTTGTGTTTGTATTAAAAAAAACGTACAGACAAAAACATCTTAAATATGAGGTACTCGAAATTTATTTACGTATGTAGATTGGCAGTGTATTTATGTGTATCGGGATTGGCATTAAAAGCTTGTTGTGTTATCATTGTAATACAGGCAATACATTATTTCATTGATGTGATAAAGAATATTTGTCTCATTACGCTGATGAATAATATTTATCGTAAAAATACCATGGTGGCAAATACCATTTTATGAAGTCTATTGATTTTAGATATTAGCAGTTAATAGCTAATAAAAAAATACATCATAATCACTATGTTGTTACCTTGACATTTTTTACATATGCTTAACAAAATTCAAATTTATTAATAACTATAGAAAAATAATTGTTTAGACTAAAAGAAATTTAATTCCTTGGATTAAATTAATAAATATTTTGTTGTATTTTTTCAATGTCAAAAACATATTATTATTACCTTTACGGTATTTTGCATTTTTAAGGTAAACAATATTGACAATCATAAAAGAGGAAGTCTTTACAATTTCAATTAACTTTGCAAATAAACAGAAATTGTACAGAATTTCGAAAAAAAAGCCAAAAACAAACAAACATTCATTGAGAAAAATTATACTTTTCCCAGAAAAAAAAATAAACTGAATAAAAATCCATACGCACATAATAAGACTAATACAGATACATTTTCAATTCTATACATTTTGATGCAAATTAAAAAAGAGAATGAAAACGAAAAAAAAACAGCCAATCATCCAACCAAGGGTCAGATGAAATATTCATGCTTATTATACAATTTCAAAATCTAAATGAAACACTGACCTATACTTGCAACAGTAGATTCATGATGACATGAAAAACTTACAGAAAAAATTTCAAACTATTTTTATTCTTGAATGAAAAGAAGAAAAAAAAAAAACGTACATAATACTCAACAAAGCAATTACAAACAATGAATGTTAGAAATCTGTGCATAAGAAAAAAAAAAAAAACTATTACAAAATAAAGTGAATGAATGATGAAAGAAAAGAAAAAAGTTTGAACAAATGATAAATTTGAAAGAATGTTATACAACATGTATCTACAAAACCGCAGTCTATGACAATCACAACAATAGATTGTGATATTTGCACATACTGACAGACATACATAAATCAAAATGTATCTACGAGTATGTACGACGAAAACCTTTTAGAGCAAACAACTGAAAACAATTTCAAATAAGAGATTTGAACTTAAGCGCATAAAATAGAATGGTATAACAATAAAATTTTGTACAATAATACACTCAAGGAGAAATGTTGATTATTATACATAAATATTTATTAAGATTTAAATATTATATATTTCTTTTTAATTTCTTACGTATAAACAAAATAGCGATAAATGCTCTGCTTATAGAGAGAAGATATCGTCAAGACTGTAATCAAGGCTATAGTCCAGACTATAGCCTAGGCTATAATCCAGTCTATAGCCTAGGCTATAATCCAGTCTATAGGTTAGGCTGTAGTCCAGGCTATAGTATAGGCTGTAGTCCAGACTATAGTCTAGGATATAGTCCAGACTATAGTCTAGGCAATAGTCCATACTAAAGTCTAGGATATAGTCTAGGCTATAGTTCAGATTCTAGTCAAGGCAATAGTCCACACTGTAGTCAAGGCTATAGTATAGTGAAGATTGTAGTCCATACTATAGTCTAGGCTATAGTCCAGAATTTAGTCTAGGCTATCATCCAGGATATAGTTCAGCCTATAGTATAGGCTATAGTCCAGACTATAGTCAAGGCTATAATCCAGACTTTAGTCTAGGCAATAGTCCAGTCTAAAGTCTAGGATATATTCAAGACTATAGTCTAGGCTATAGTCCAGAGTTTAGTCTAGGCTATCATCCAGGATATAGTTCAGCCTATAGTATAGGCTATAGACTATAGTCTAGGCTATAGTCCAGACTATAGTCTAGGCTATAGTCCAGACTATAGTCTAGGCTATAGTCCAGACTATAGTCTAGGCTATAGTCTAGGCTATAGTCCAGACTATAGTCTAGGCTATAGTCCAGAGTTTAGTCTAGGCTATCATCCAGGATATGGTTCAGCCTATAGTATAGGCTATAGTCTAGGCTATAGTCCAGACTATAGTCTAGGCTATAGTCCAGACTATAGTCTAGGCTATAGTCCAGACTATAGTCTAGGCTATAGTCCAGAGTTTAGTCTAGGCTATCATCCAGGCAATAGTTCAGCCTATAGTATAGGCTATAGTCTAGACTATAGTCAAGTCTATAATCCAGACTTTAGTCTAGGCAATAGTTCAGTCTAAAGTCTAGGGTATAGGCAAGACTATAGTCTATACAATAGTCCAGACTATAGTCTATTCAATAGTCCAGACTTTAATCTAGGCTATAGTCTAGGCTATAGTCCAGACTATAGTCAAGATTGTAGTCCATACTGTAGTCAAGGCTATAGTCCAGACTGTACTCAAGGCTATAGTCCAGTCTGTACTCAAGGCTATAGTCCAGACTATGGTCTAGGCTATAGTCCAGACTATAGTCTAGGCTATAGTCCAGACTATATCCTAGGCCATAGTCCAGACTATAGTCAAGATTGCAGTTTATGCTAAAGTCTAGGCTATAGTCCAGACAATATTCTTAGCTATAGTCCAGGGCATAGTCTAGGCTATAGTCCAGACTATAGTCCTGACTGTAGTCAAGGCTATAGTCGAGACTATAGTCAAGGCTATAGTCCAGAGTACAGTCAAGGATATAGTACATAGTACAGTCTAGGCTATAGTCCAGACTATAATGAAGGCAATAGTCCAGACTGTAATCAAAGCTATAGTCCAGACTGTAGCTAAGGCTATAGTTAAGGATATAGTCCAGACTATAGTCAAGGCTATAGTCCATACTATGGTCAAGGCTACAGTCCATACTATAGTCAAGGCTATAGTCCATACTATAGTCAAGGCTATAGTCCATACTATATTCAAGGCTACTATATATAGTCCAGACTAAAGTCAAAGCTATAGTCAAAATTAGTCTCAATAAATTTCTTTTTCTATAAAAAATGTCCATTAATACTATTTTACTGTCACCACAAAAAATAAAAAACTTGACACTTACCCAGTATATATTTGGAGCCCAATTTGTGTAGACTACAAAATTGATAATAACAGTAGAGTACAGCAGCACACCGGACAATTGTCATGACAATAACATCGGCTGCATTATATTCAGCCTCTAGACCTTCACACGATTGTGTCCAGCCATGACAGGGACGGTGTCGACTAGATGTAGTACTGCTGCCACCACCACCACCTCCACCAGCATCAGATGTAGTAGTGGTGGTAATATATTGTTGCTTATCAACTGTCAGCATACATGCTGTCACCGTAAGCAATGCTACAATAACCTCCCATGGATGTGATGCACAAAATTCGCCATGTGCCCGAAATAAACGACCAATCATGATGTTGAGAAATTTTTGATTCCAAATGAAATTTGTGCAAAAATGAAAATTTTGTTGAATTTTGCTAAAAGCGTTTGCCTATAGTTTAAATGTAAAATATTGTTACTGTTTTTATAGTTGGTGGTGATGTTGACGTTGATTTTGTTAAAAGAAAGCACACACGACTTTTAAGTAAACTATTTTGTTGGATGATGTGACAAAATGTTTCTCTTTGGCCAATAATTCTGTTTTATTGTGGAGTTATACTCGTTTTATTTAGCGTTTCTTTTTTTTATAAATTGTATAATAACGGAAACAGTAGGAAATCAATCAATTGTCAATCAATTACATCCGTTTTTCCTCTACACGTTATATTCTGTTTGTAATTATTTGTTGATTTTATAGATGGCGCTGACATTAACATTTATCTTTTTCTAGTTGAGTAATTGTTGTTGTAGAGTATTTTGTTGTTGTTGTTGTTGCTGTTTTCAGTATAGAATTGTTTTAATTTGCATCAAGTGTTTTTGACGTCTCAGTTGAGATTTGTTTTATTTTTATATTGTTATGGTCTCTTTATAACAGTTAGTTTGTTTTGTTTTTATTTTTTTGATTCCTTTCAATTACAGGTGTCGTTTATTAACAAAAAAAAAAAACTTTTCTGTTGTGTTTTTTTCGTTGGTATTTTTATAGTTTATTTTATTGTTTTGCCAATTTTCTTCTATTGATTGGAAGTAATTTTCTTTTAATGAT